CTATTCTCTGCCGCTTCGTAACAACGGCAAACATGGCTGTGAGGATGGAGAGCCTGCGGTTTGTGCTGCCCTCTAATGTGCACAATGGATACAACAACTTTCCCTTGTTCCCGAATCTACTCCAGCTAATGGGCAGGAACCCTCTTTTTCCCCCCCCCCCCACAAGTCGAAAAGGAAGACAGGTAGCTCTGAAGCTCTGTTTGGAGGCTTTTTTTCTGAATCTTCGTTTCTGATGCTTTTTTCAGCCTCTGAAACCTCTGTTTGAGAAGCTGGGCAGGGCTACATTCCAATTATAAGACGCACCCAGATTTTCACCCTCTTTTTTTGGGGAAAAAGGTGCGTCATACTCTGAAAAATACGGCTAGTTGTCATCTGTTACTTTTTGTAACATACGTTTTTATTACTATTATTTCATTGCTCTGTTTGCAGTGGAAGTTCGTTTTTTCTCTCCCCCCCCCCCCCCCCCCCCCATTTTGCATTTTAACTTTGGAGACAAAAAAAAATATTGTAAGAAAATTAGAATTGGGGGAATTGGCATTAAACAAGCTGCACGTTTTGCTTGTTGCTATTCCCCCATTTTTTCCCCCTAGAAAAGAATCAGCTGCAAACAAAGTACCGTGTTTTCCCAAAAATAAGACCCTGTCTGATATTTTTTTGAACCCTGAAATAAGCGCTTGGCCTTATTGCCATGCGCTCAAAAGCCCGATTGGGCTTATTATCAGGGAATGTCTTATTTTGGGGTGCGGGGAAAAGGGTACTACATTCTGAGATAAGTTCCAATCAGAACAGTTCAGAGTTCCATCTTCCATTCTCAATTTTCAACTCCCAGAATTCCCTAGCCAGCCAGAAGTCCACAAGTCTCAAACTTGCCAAGATTACATACCCCTACCCTAGACAAAGTCAGCAGTGTGGCGTCTGCAGCAGGGGTGAAATCCAAAATTTTTCCCTACCGGTTCTGTGGGCGTGGCTTGGTGGGCGTGCAGGGGAAGGATATTGCAAAATCTCCATTCCCACCCCACTCTGGGCCAGCCAGAGGTGGTATTTGCCGGTTCTCCGAACTACTCAAATTTTCCGCTACCGGTTCTCCAGAACCTGTCAGAACCTGCTGGATTTCACCCCTGGTCTGCAGGCGCCATGAGGGGTGACTCCCCCCTCCCCAATCCTGCAGTGTGTGCAAAGCTACCACAATTAAATTTTAAAAGACCTTGAAACAATCACGTATGTCGCGAGATTTTGGCTGAAGAAGAGTAGATGCTTGAGTAAAGAGAGACGATATCTTGCAAGGTTTAATGATCTGGCGAGAGGGCCGACAATTGAAATAAAGAATTTGAGGAATGCCTGCTCGGTGAGTCCCGGAGACGGAAAAAGTCAAGGCCCCTGGCGCAAAAGAATTGATTGTCCCAGTGAAAAAGGTGCAAAATAAAAATGGTAAGAGATTCCATGCCTATCCCAAGGGATAGGGATTCAAAAATTCAAATTTACCTGTTCCATCTGATTGCCTCCAAGAAAAATAAAGGGCAGAGAAATTTGGGTGGGAACGGGGAGCTGCATAGTTGTAAAAACGCCAGCGAGAGTAGTGTGGTCATTAGGAACTGTGGCAAAGGGATTCTTTGGGAAGAAAATGAGGTTTTTTGCAAACAGCATCGACCGCAAAGCTGTCTCTGTGTTCATCACAGTTCAAAAGTTCCCGATCTGGCCTCTTGCGTTTGTTAAGCAAGGCGTGGTTGGTGTTTTCGTCGCGTTTGCCTTCCGGGAGGCCCAGAGTTCTTAAACAGGCAATAGCCGCCGCTTGTTCTGCTAGTTTCTTGGATTTTTCCCTGGAAAAGAAGAAGACGGGAATATGGTTGCTAAGAGTCTGAATTTTGATCTTGTGACCGTGGGAACGCTGCGAGAGTTGTAAGTGCAAGGACTGGATGGACGTCACTTCCTTCGGTACTGTTGTAACTTCAAACGGTCGATAAATGAACAGTTGTAAGTCAAGGACTACCTGTATACATAAAATTCAAAACTCTGCATTCGGCATTTCCTTGAAGATGTTTCGCTTCTCATCCAAGCTTCTTCAGCTTCTTGGATGAGAAGCGACACGTCTTCGAAGGAAAAAAAACAAAGAAAGTCCAGTTGCCTCTTGAAAAAGCACCTTTGGGACAACCAGGGCCTGGATGACTGAGAATCTACGCTGAACACTTCAGCATAACTTAAGTCAGAACAATCCCAAATGGGACACTGCCTTCGCCGCCCCAAGGCCATAAGAAATGCCAGCACAGCAGATGCTTCCAAGTGTTTATAGCCGATCTTCACGGAAAGTTGTAACCGAACAACTCTACTGGACAGGCCTGTGGCACTCGGTCAGTCGTTCTCTGAAATGGATAGGCAGATGGTTCCTTCCTTTTCCCGAGTACCTCCAAGACCGTCTTCTGCCACCAATAGCCTCCCACCGACCAGTCCGTTCCCACAGAGAGGGTCTCCTCAGGGTGCCATCGGCCAAGTTATGTCGGCTGGCGACACCCAGGGGGAGGGCCTTCTCTGTGGGAGCCCCAGCCCTGTGGAATGAACTGCCCCAGAAATTTGTAAGATCTCCAACCTCTGGGTATTTCGCTGTGTACTGAAGACCCTGTTGTTCCACCAGGCCGGGCTATCAACATAATAATTTTAAATTGGGGTATTTTAAATTCCTGGGGTTTTAAATTGAGCCGAATTTATTTAATAATTTTAAATTTTTAATTGATGTTTGTCTTGTGTTTTTAAATAGGCTGTACACCACCCTGAGTCCTTCGGGAGAAGGGCGGTATAGAAATAGAATTATACTTATACTTACTTATACTTATACACAAAAGTACCACGAAATTACCTTACCATCTATTTCAACCCAGTGGAAAACTGTGAAGTTCTCTCCTGAATCTAACTTCTGCTGTGAATTTTCCAAATCATAAGAGACTTCACTTACCAGCCAAGCATAACATGATTTACTTTACAAGGTTAACGTAAGAATTATTAGAATGTTAAGAGTTAGGCTCAAATGCAATTCTCAATCATGGTTTAAAGTTATGTGAAGGAGCTATATATTCGATTCTCTTCTCTTGTATCCTTACGCTTGTATCCTTACAACTTATATTGATATAATTTCCTGATTGCTTATTTGTACCCTATGATTATCATTAAGTGTTGTACCTTATGATTCTTGATAAATGTATCTTGTCTTTTATGTACACTGAGAGCTCCTGGACCAAGACAAATTCTTTGTGAGTCCAATCACATTTGGCCAATAAAAAATTCTATTCTATTCTATTCTATTCTATTCTATTCTATTCTATTCTATTCTGATAAATGTATCTTTTCTTTTATGTAGACTGGGAGCATATGCACCAAAGACAAATTCCTTGTGTGTCCAATCACACTTGGCCAATAAAATTCTATTATTCTATTCTATTCCATTCCATTCCATTCCATTCCATTCCATTCTATTCTATTCTATTCTATTCTATTCTTCATTCCAATATTCCATTCCATTCCATTCCATTCTATTCTATTCCTCTCACACAGCTGCACATCTGCTGGTTTTAGAAAAAAACATAGCTTAGCTTGTCATCTGAACCCTAAACTATATTTGGGCTTATCGTGGTCACTTAAAATATATGCTTTCCTGAGCTAGGGTTTGCTTGGTCCATTTCAACAAACTGTAGTTAAAAGTAACCAAATTTGGGCTACTTAAAAAATGGAATGAAGTTTCCAGGCATTACAGAGAGCAATAACCTGACATTTTCCATACAGGTAGTCCTCGGCTTACAACAGTTTGTTTAGTGACCGTCTGAAGTTACAACAGTGCTGAAAAAAGGGACTTAAAACTGTTTTTCATGCTTATAACTTTTGCAGCATCCCCATGGTCACATGACCAAAAATTCAAATGCTTGGGAAGTGGTTCATAGTTATTGCGGTTGCAGTATCCCAGGGTCATGTGATCATCTTTTGCAACCTTCTGACAAGCAAAGTCAATATTGTGGTCCGCCAGCAGCCTGTGGAGCTGACAGCCGAGTCGGACAGTGAGGAGGCTGGGGAGGAACATGGGCCAGTCATGGAGTCTGGGGAAGGCCCTGACGAGGGCTCTGCATCGGAGGCAGAGAGGGAGCCAGGGCCATCTGGGAGTGATGCGCTGACTCCGGAGCCCCCAGAGTTGGACAGCAGAGAGGCAGAGGAACAGGAGGAGCCTGTTCCTAGTGCACGCATGCACAGAGCTGCCAGAAGGCAAGAGCAGCTAAAGCAAAAGGGACGACTCGGGAGTAAGGCCAGGAGATGATTGCCCCCTCCCATCAGGCTTAAAAGAGAAACAAAGGCACTTGGGACCTTTTGGCAGGAAAGCAACATTGCTAACTCTGTTTCCAGTCAATGTCTCTTGTTTGTTTCTGAACTTTGTGGGGCTTTGCCAATAAGGCCTTTGGCAGGGTGTCAAAGAAGATAAAAGTTGGTGATTATCCTGAAGGACTTCTTCCGAAGGACTTGTTTTGCAACTAATTAGTATTCACCTGGGAATAAACTGTTACTAATGGGACTAATTGTGACTTGTAATGACTCAGTAAGTCTAGGTCACAACAGTTAATGGGGAAGCCAGATTCACTTAACAACCTTGTTACTACCTTAACTAACAGCAGTGATTCACTTAACAAATGTTTCACTTAGCAACATAAATGTTTGGCTCAACTGTGGTCGTAAGTCAAAGGACCACCTGGAGTGTGTGTCCTGCTTTTTTAGCCATTGCATGTGAATTAATCATCCACAAGAACATCTAAGAATTGTGGACTCAACTCCCAGAATTCCCCAGCCAGCATGGAATTCTGGGCGTTGGAGTCCACAAGTCTTTAAGGTTGCCAAGGTTGGATATCCCTGATCTAAAAGTACCATACCAACATTACTTCTCTCTTTCCGAGCTGTCATGAACAACTTTACTCTCTCTAGCAAATGATCCCCTTGTAAAAAAAAAAAAAACAACTTCCCCAAAAGCAGCTTAC